CCCGCGCCGTCCGCAGGTAATTTACCCAGGGGGGTTATTGGATGGGGCTCCCGGGTGGCGCCTGGGGTGTTTGTGGGGGAGTTAGACCCGCGTTTGCCCGTCCCGTGGTAGCTTTTGCCCCGTCTGAGGGTGCGTTACTGCGCTGCGGTGTCCCCTGGCAGGTCTCATAACGGTGCTCGGTTGTTGTGCCCTGGGTATTGGGGTGTGGGGAACTGTTGCCCAGTGGATCTGCAGTGAGTGGAAGCCCTGGAAATTCTTGGGAAAAGCAAAAACTCCTGCGCGTGGGCGGTGGTTGCAGTTCTGCCCCGGGGGCCTCATCCCAGCATGGGGACCCACGCGCTGGTTCCGCCATCTCTCCTGCTCCCGTGTTGAAGCCCCTCTGCTTTACAGGCCGTGCTGCCCCTCGTAGCAATTCCAGGGAGCCTTTCCGGACTATTTGGCTCTGTGGATCCTTTTGGAGGGACTTCTGGTCTAGCAGCTGCGTTTGCTAGAGGGATGGGTGCTGCCCGTGAGCGTTTACGTGTGTTCTCATTTGTCACTCAGAAACAAACGTGGCAAAGTGATTAAACCTCTGCAGTATCAATCGACAGTGGCACCAGGCACTGTTGCGAGAGTGGAGCCCAGTATTAAGTGGTTTGGTGAGTTTTTCAGCTTTCAGCCTTGACAAGCTTAAACTGCTGAACTCTGTGTTTGGAGGGTGGGTTTGTGTCAGGGTCCAGGCTCTGTGCTCTCCAGGACAGATACCAAAAGTGAAGGGGCCTCTATAGGTTGGGGTATAGGGCAATATAAGATGATGGCATATGTAGCATCCTGTGTGTGTACCTCAACATGCAGTGTGGGGTTTCTGCCCACTGCTTTAGAGCGTGTTTGTTTTGTCCACTTTGGATGTTTGGGCTTGCCTGTATGCATGTGTGTGTGTTGTGGCTTATGTATGTTAGGTGCAGTATGTGCCCTCAGTTTTTTGGCACTGGTATTTTTGTTGCTGGATGGAGAACTAATGTTTGGTATTTATTAGTGTACCCTTGACTTTGGAAACAGTTATCACAGGGAGTGGTGCTGTGCAAGAGATATACATGTGTATATGTTTTACATGCAGGAAACACTCGTGTGATCAAGCAATCATCCTTGCAGAAATTTCAGGAAGAAATGGAAACTGTCATGAAAGATCCTTACAGAGTGGTGATGAAGCAAAGCAAGTTGCCAATGTCCCTCTTCCATGACCGGATCAAACCTCATGTGTGTGTTGTTCATCTGTGTAGGGTGAAGGCTGGGTTATGAGCATGAGCTGCCGTGAATATTTTCTTTCCTTTGGAGATGATGCTGCATGTGCTCAGCTTGGTGAAATGCTCTTTGACACCCTCTGCAAATAGGGGGATCATTTAGGGCAAATCACCCCCTTTTCTGGGTGGGGAAGGATGTTCCTGAGCCTATCAGTTGGACAGCAAATATAAAGGCAGAGATATAGCATATTACTTGCCTGTATTTTGTGAGAAGATCTGTATTATTTATAGGGAATTCTCATTTTCTGTTAGGAAAGTGCCAGCTTAGGATGACTATGGCTGCTTCTCACCTTATGTTCTAACATTTCTAATAGCTCATGTCATACTTGAACCTTTTTTTTGAGCCAGCTTCACCCTGCTAATGCTCTTACGTGATGAATTTGAACTCCAGTATGTACTTTTTATCTTGAGTCAAAAATTCTTCTGCATGTGAACTTTACGGCAAGCAGATCAAGTTTTTTAATACTGGACTTCTTTTGTGATGTCTGAACTATTATTTTGGACTCCTGCTAGATGTTTTTCACATGGAAACTTTCCAGGTTTATGTAATAACATTTTTCTTTAATTTAAGTAAGCTTTTTATCAGAAACTAGAATGTGCGTTGCAAAAACAAACAACTCCTTTTAGTTTAAATTATACGCACTTCCAAGAAAAGTTGGCATTCATTACAGGCATTAAACCCTACAATTTTGACTGTAATTACCCTTGACAAAAATCTGAGAATCTGGCGAGATTTGTGCACTTGTTAGAAAAACAAGAAATGATCAAAGATGGCAGCTAAATTTTCATCATTGGAGCCTTAATTGCATTTGACGATGTTCACGGCGAAAGAACTGAAGCGTAGTTCTGGCAAGTGCAATGTGTTTTGTTGCTTATTAAATATCCACGCTTAGTTTCTCAAAGATTAAGTTGGAAAATTCAAACATTGTTAGGAAAATGCCTGTAACTCTTGTCAGGGCTTGCAGAGTAGCACTGTGCTAAGGTCTTGCACACTGCATGTTGTAAGCCTGGGAGGGGGGAATAGTTTATTTGTGTTTTTTTACCAACTCTTCTTTTGTTAGACCTCCAGAGTTCACATTCTTGACACAGAAACATTTGAAACAACATTTGGCCCCAAATCGCAGAGGAAGAAACCAACTCTTTCTGCAAGTGATGTGCAGTCTCTGCTGGAGAATGCAGAAGCCTCAACAGAAACTTATGATCAGGACAAAGACCGGGACCTCGTGACAGAAGACACTGGTGTAAGGTAAATAGCAAGAAGTTGTTTATTGTTCACGCTTCTGAACAGCTTGATCTTTATTCAAAAAAGAAGAAGTTTTCTAGTGCATCCCTTGATATGAATATGAGCATGTGAGGAGTATACAAGCAAAATTTGACTGGCATTTTATAACCTTGTTTTGTTCCTATGTATTTATGGTAGAGGTTGCTTCTATGGGAGCCTTCATTAGTAATTCATCTACTTTTGCGTGTCTGACTATTCCCAAGCCCACATTTTGCATTAGACAGGAAACCAAATAATGTGTAGATATAACCCTCTAAACCAGTATGTGTTTGTAGAATCTTTCTATAGATAGGTGGGTTAAAAAAGTAGCCAAATCTTAGCTCTCTATTATCTTACTTCCTGTGCCTGCAAATGACTTCAGAGAAGATGACACTGTAACTCCTGCTGTGATTGCTAATTTCTCTGGTAATTCCCTTCCAGGGATGAAGCACAAGAAGAAATATTTGTTCCTATGTATTTATGGTAGTGGTTGCTTCTATGAGAGCCTGTCTTCATTAGTAATTCATCTACTTTTGCGTGTCTGACTATCCCCAAACCCACATTTTGCATTAGACAGGAAACCAAATAATGTGTAGATATAACCCTCTAAACCAGTATGTGTTTGTAGAATCTTTCTGTAGATGGGTGGGTTAAAGAAATAGCCAAATCTTAGCTCTCTGTTATTTGGGCCTTACTTCCTGTGCCTGCAAATGACTTTGGAGAAGATGACACTGTAACTCTTGCTGCGATTGCTAATTTCTCTGGTAATTCCCT